AAAAAAAAACTATTATCTAGTTATGGTGTATAATAAACTCTAGAATACATGTTAAAAATACCTGGTGGGAGTAATAACAAGTGCTCTTAGAAGACCTCTTGAGACAACTTGTTCAATAGCCTGTCCTTTTTCTTTAACCTGCCTCTCAAATTTAGCTCGTTCTTCAAATTTATCAAATTAAAGAGAGCGGAATGCCCCTAAAATACTTGCAATTTAGAATGCTTATCACAAAGTGTAGAATAACGCAAGTCCAAAAACTTTAAGAAACTTTAAGAACTATAAGATAAAAAGATTTAAAGAATAATACTTTAAGAAACTTCAACCTTCCAATTGTGATGGTTATAGTAAGATAGTGTGTGCATCTGCAGCTGTGTGATCGTGATTAGCATGGGAGAACGTAAAACCTTTAAYAACCCGCATGTTYTCAGAAAAGTAGTGTTCTGCTCTTCTAGCTAGATCTGCTTCTAATTTGGACTGCAGAACATAAATGTTTAAAGAAAGAATAACATATTAGCATGTATTAAGTCAATGGATCACTTTGTAGACAGGGTTTAATGCAACAACTATAAGATAATTTCTTTTAGTGGCATGAAGTTAAGGAAAAGAAATATATAAAAACCTTGTGAGTCGTATAGTCTTGTCGTTCGACTGTAACAAAAGTTTACAAAAATTAGTATGTAAGTGTAAAGAAAATAAATCAAATGCCACAATTCTAACCGTTAGATAAAATAGRCTCAACTTCTTTCCCAGCTGCCCTGTAAAAAGTACACATGCAAAATAGTTTTTGTCATGAAATTGAATAGTTGGCAGCGAAGTGGAACGTCATAAATCCCTGAATCTTACTTTAGAAGGATCTTTGCAGCCTCTCRACACTCGGAAACTCTCCGATTATATCCAAGGTTAGTTGTCAAAGCCTGCTTCAGGCCAGAAAATGCTAGTAGAATCTTGTAGGGAATTTTAGATTCACCCTTTTTCTCCATTTCAATCTTACGTGGGTGTATAAGCTTGTGTATTTTGGTCTGCACATGATTAACAAGATCCATTCAGATAAAATATATATATATATATATATATATATGAGCATCAGCAATTGAATCCATTTCAAAACAGCCGAAGCTGCCGGTTTGAAGGAAGAACAGAAGAAGAACGGAAATCTGCTGCTTGATCTTGAAGAAAGAGACAGCAGCCTAGCTGCGAATCTGAAGAAAGGACAACCGTAACTGTCTACGGGATGAAGAAAGCAGCCGTGACTGCTGGTTGGGAGTGTAGCTGCTAAGAGGGAAGGAGGATCAGCTGCACTTGCTTGGTGAAATGGAGAAAGGTCCAAGCTGCCAAAATTGAAGAGGAATCAGCACAGCTGCTGTTGGAAGAAACAGAAAACAGCGCTGCTGCTGTTGGGCTCGAACAGCACGTCGCAGCCGCTGCTTTGGCCGAGAAAAAGACGCAGTTAGCTGCTGTTTATGCTCTTATCAAGTAGGGCATCGAGCAGCAGTCCAGGTTGCTGTTTGGCGAAGACAGCGGACAGAAATGGAAGCAGCCTAGCTGCTGTTTGCGCACGTAGCGGGCTGGAATCCAGCAGCAGTTCGGGCTATTGTTGGGCGTAGACAGCAGGCGGTTTTTGAAGCAGAAAGCAGCAGCCGATAGCTGCCCGTTTGGGGTTCGAAAACAGCAGCCGCGAGGCACTGTTTAAACACTAGTTTCCACTTTGTATTTTGGATTCAACTTATCTCTTCTTCATTGTTTTCTTAGGGTGTTACAGTATGTACATAAATGGGTGACCATTGCTTACCAGATATATCAACAAGTATATCAGTATAAATCTTCATGAAAATCAAGTAGAAGGTACAGACGTACTGTACAGCATCATTTACGATCACCCCGAAGAGGGAATCAAAAAGTAATAATAAGATCTGAATTTGTCCAGAATAAWGGAAAATGGGGTTGCTCTTTTCCCCCTCTTTATATTTGCTTTATCAACAATGAAAAAAATATGTTTCCCAGACATCTAACCGTTCTTGAACAACATAATAAAGTACTTAAAAGGACTTAAGTTACAAGACATACAATTTTTGAATCATATATAATAGTGTTATAATAAGTTGCTAGGATGCACGTATGACATAAATGACTTAACAAGTACTATCAATGGAGTTGGATAATCTAGTATGATACATAAAATATATTGTCTTATTAGTCTTTTTATATGACATTTTTGAAAAGTATTATATTAGTCTTTCTTTTACAGAGTAACTTTAAAATTTCTTGTGTCCTATTAGTTTCCCCAACTTCRTCAATAGAAGTTATTAAGTGGCGTAAATTTGTTTTGACAACTTACTAAAAGTACTTTATTATGGTCCTAAAACTTTAAAGTCCCGTTAAAAAGTACTCTATTAGAATGTCTAAGGATGGTTGAACGTCCTAAAAGGCATGTTTTGTTGTACTGATGAATGTCCAAAATTCAGAAAATTGGAGGACTAACCTCTCTTTGGTTTTCATTTGCTACCTACGCAGCATCCATTTAATACTTCTAACAAATGGTCACAAATGGGCTTCAATTTTATGATTTAAGCATACATGATACATTAACATTATGCATACAGTGAATCAGTGACAGTACTAGAAACACAAATGACAAACCACAGACGACCAATTTCACAGCTTCATACTTAGGTTTTGCAATCAAACAAGAATTAGAAACATAAAAATAAAATAAGTGAAGTAAATAACCCTAACCTCACAAGTCACAAGATGCGAGAGCGAGAGGCCGAGAGCCGGTCGATTGTCGAGACTCGAGAGAGGCAGAGAGCGAGAGCCGGTCGATTGTCGAGACTCGAGAGAGGCAGAGAGCGAGAGCCGATTGAGTCAAGGCCGATTGCGATTTCGATTCGTGAATCGTGAATTGGTTTATGTTCGTGAGTTCGTTCGTCAGTGAGGCGAGAGGCGAGAGTCGAGGGAGGACGAATTGAGTGAAGGCTTGAGATTGAGATTGAGATTGAGATGGAGATGGACGAATATAGTGAAGACTGATAACATTATATCTAGCCCAAATAAAAATAGAACCTATGTATATATATTGTTGGGCTTAAAAAATTGATGTTTTTGGGCTTTATATTGAGACAAGAAAAAAGTATTATATTTATTATTTAATTTTAATTTATTTTCAATATTAATCTTTTAAATCATATATTTTTTATTTATTTTTTAATATAAATCTTTTAGATATATTTTTAAAGGTAGCTAAAGACTTTTATTTAATTTTAATAATCTTAATTTTTTTATTAATCTTTAGAGAAGCTTAAAAAAGTGTTCCTAAAAATTGATGTAACTTTTTAGAGACATTTTTTATAAAAAGCTTCTCTAAAACTTTTAACGACATTTCTTACATCGTATAATTAGCATATAAATCCTTCTTTAAATGTCGTCAAACCTTTAGTTACATTTCTCATTTTTGTCATTTAAAACCTTCTCTATAATGGAGCTTTAGATACACTTGTAAAAACTTCTCTGAAAATTTCTTCTCTAAAACTCTTTTTTCTTGTAGTGTCTGTTATACTGTTGTTCTATTTAGTTTTTTCTGTAACATTTTGTTAAAATTTAGACTTTCTTTTTGATGTTGCGATCACATAAAATCCTAAACTTTGAGGCTCACTAGCTAAATACATGGCGATCCTAAGCCCTCCTCTCCGCCTAGGAGGCACCTATTTGGATGAAGGCACGAGTCGTCTAACAAGGCATGGGACCCATAGATATTTCTATAATATTAACACAACCTTGAATACTTTTAATGGTCAAAATTTAAACAACCTAAAAAACACTACATAAAAGATACTCCTTTTAGTCGACAAAAATCAATTTCATAGTTTAATAGGAAAAGAAAAGTTAATCATTTTAAATATAAAAAGCCATGTAAATGACAATAACCAACCATAAAAGCAAAAAGGAAACGGATTGAGTCCAATTATAAGACCTACGGTCTTCATTTTTTAAATAAAAATAATATAATTATAAAAAATATCTATCGAAATCAAATGAAAAAGCCTAATTTGTTGAAAATAAAATGAATGGCAACTGAAGTTTCATCAGACATAAAATCGTTAAAAAAACAAATTTTCCAACAATCAACCGTTTATTATCAAAATTATTCTATCTCATCAAAAACAAATAATAACAACATAAAATGGTGGAAACTAGAATAAAAGCAAAAGTAATTTAATGGCATATAGAAATATTCTAAGGAAATAATCAAAAAGAAATGTGTCTTTGGGGTACCAAACCAAAGTACATGAAGTTGGTCAATTTTAATATAGCTGTAGACAACACTTAGTGGAACATGATATGATATGCTTAATTATATTTAAAATATATCACATCAGTGGCTTTTCTTAAACGACCCCTCGTGTTAACTTGAACTTAAAGAATTTGTAAACTTTAGTGGATGAGAACGTAAAGAGGACCACAAATACCAGATATCTTACAAATATGGTATCATAATAAACGTTTTATATTTAACTTTACAAAAAGGAAGGAGAATATTGAACCTCAATCTTTGGGGCTGGATGCTACGTTTGAATTAGTATTAGCAAATGGTAGGTTATTTTTCACACCTTTAGATTTATAAAAAGAATCACAAAGCAAGTATACAATATGGTCCAATGTTTTCTTTTCCAAGTAATAAAGTGGTAAAAATTGAATATCGTCCACGGAGATTATCGCAAAGACTTAATAAGATTCTAATGAAAGAGATTATTTCATATGATGAAATTGAAGAGTTCAGTTTCGTTCTGGGTTAACAATGAAAAAATAACATAATATAAAGGGGTAGCATTGGTGTAAGACTTGTAGTGAAATGTAAACACAAATTCCAGCAGACAATACTGTATGAATGCTACAATATGCAGTAAGTCATAAACTAGTTCCACCATCTATTTTGAAGATATTCCTCTCGGAATTCATCATTGCACTATATTATAGCTTTCAACCTATATCTTTATGTGGTATCCGGAACCAGGGATAGTGACAAAATGATGTTTTCAAAATATATAGATAAACAAATTACTTTGTTAAAAATCACTCTTTCGAGCCGATTCCCATATTATTCAAGTTGGGCGTGTGTTCTAGATAGTTAATCTCTGAATCTACGGCACTTTAACACTTTAACAAGCGACCAACTTGTCGAGAATTAATTTGTTTGAAAGACATAAATGACAAGTCTTCCACTCAAATGGTGCAAAGACAAGTTAATCACTCAATTTAGCTCCAAGCATAAACAAATGAAAAATAATGTAGTAAAAAGGACTCGAAGTTGGAATAAAAGAAAATAAACTACCTAATTAGCAAAGAAATAAATACTTTATGCATTGAATAATCAATGCATATCAGCAAACCTTTGTATTTTGACTCTACAAATATATAGATAATTAAAAAAAAAAGGATTTTATATTCTTATGTTCATAAGATAAAAGGTAAATAATATTTATAAAATATTCATTATAAATATAAAAAAGTATAATATATTTGTAAGTTATATAACAATTGCCTACATACAAAATGTTTTAAACCTTCTCTTGTTGTAGTAGAAACTATAGTTTTTCTAAATGCATACACTTTAATCCAAACAACCAAACACTAATTAGTCTTAGCTCTTCCGCTATGTCTAAGCGTATTGACATAATACTTTATAGAACGTAGGTTTACAGGACCAAAATATAAAACGTTCTATCTAAAAACGTTGGAATAGAATAATAGGACACTTTTAGGCGTTAACAAGTTTTTTAGGATGCTTTTAAAATAAATTGTCATATTAGTTATTTTATACGACACTTTGAAGAATCTTCCTATTAGCTATTTTATATGACACTTTTAAGTAGTAACCTATAAACCCATCTTTTTTACAGGAGATTTGTGTTTACAATAAAATTTTCAAATAATGTTTTATAAAATAGTTAATATGACAATTTATTTTAAAAACCTATCGTAACATTTTTAAATATGACGTTGTTTTTGGTTTAGTCATATAACTTAAGTTTTATAAATAAATAAAAAACTTTTCTAAGACATTTTAACATTTTACGCGTCCTACAAAATCAATTATATTGTATTGTGATTTCTAGATTGCTATTTTAGGTTTGTTTCAAGTTTAAATTTAGAAAGTGGGTTTCTTTAGACAAAGAATTAAAAGTGGGGTTGGATAACAATTAAGTAAAGGAATTTAGACTAACATAGTGGAGCCTTGGAGGAGTGCAGGGGCCAAATTAAGTTTTCATTTTCATACACTTTAAATTAGATATATAGCCTATTTACTTTCATTAAAAGCTCAGGGGGGGCATGGCCCCCAAAGGTCACATAGGCCATCCACCTCTATTGTAAACTCAAAACTTAAAATAGAAATTATGTTTTATCCGGTTTGTATTAACATCAAATGCTTCAAACCTGTTTTTTGAATATATATATATATATATATATAGAGAGAGAGAGAGAGAGAGAGACTTGGGATCATGTGAGACCCAAGGTTTTTCGTGAGATCCGTAAGACCAATTCTCAATCATTGGATTAGATCTACAATATGACAATCTAAACATTCATAAACGCCACGAGACTTCTCAATAATTATAAAATTGTCACTGTGCAATTTTAGACTATTTGATTATTAACTTATAAAGTTGATCAATGTACATAAATTGATCTTACGGGTCTCATGAAAAACCTTTGGTCTCACGTGAACCCAACCCTATATATATATATATATATATATATATATATATATATATATATATAGGGGCCCATTCAATAGAGAACTGATTAGTTTGTGGTAACTGTGAGATCCAATCTCAACTTCAAATCAACGGATAAATTAGGAAATTAATAATTATGGTAGCTTGAGTTAAAATTATAATTAGAGGGCTTTTTAGGTATTTTTAAAAAACTCTTCTCTCCTCTCTCATCTCTCCGACCTCCAATCTCCGCCCTCCGGTGAACATTAATCCGACAGATACCAAATAATCACAAAGATACACAATGTGATACCCATTGTGATATACTGTGATATAGTTAATATTATGCAACCACACTTATTGTCTTGTTAATATCATGACATACTTTATCTTATATCTATCATGAAAAATGATAGTTACTGAGTTTCCCGTCACTTTTCCATCTTCTAAGTCTTAAATTATTCATCATCTTCAACTGCAGCTCTTTCTGCACCTCTTTGGACTTGTAGTTTCAAACCTTTGTAATCTACATTTCATTCATAAAATCTTCTGTACCAATATGTTTATTGAATTCATTTGTAAAAGCTTTTTTGCCGCATTATAATCTACCGATGGTCATTATAGGTTGTTGCACGAGCCATTATATGCTGCCTATGTAGGGGTTATGGCAATATTGATGCAGACAATTGCTGGAATGATTGAATTTACCCCAGAAAACAAGAAAAGAATGGGAGTTGCCCTGGCAACTTTACTCGTGAACTTTATTGCAACACTATGGGCATTCTCTTTGACAAGTGATGTACAACACAATTACTGGAAAGCTACAATTTTCAATGTTGTCTTCAACTTTACTGGTATGCTAACTCCACATTCTGCGTTCTCCATGCTCATACCACAATGGCTCACATGGCATGGTTTTGCCATTGTATGCATTGTTGTGGCCTTTATAAAAGGTTATAACGAACTGCAACTGATGTTCATATGGTTTTATCAAAAGCTTCTTGATTCTACGAAGTACATGACTGAGAAGTTGTCAATATTGATCTTGGCAAGTCAGTTGACAATGGATGCTAGTGTTCCCCAAGTTTAAACTTAAGATGCCATATAATGTATAAATCATTGTCATAAGTACTCTACGTAGAATATTGAAACCACTAAGTGTTGTAATACATAAGCACTAGGTACTTTTTTATTGCTTTTTTATAGTATTTAAATCATATTTGAA